GCAATATAATTAAAATATTTTTTCTTTATCATAATTCGATAATAAGTATAGAAATTCTATTATGGAAGTATTCAAATTGTATTGTGTCAAATAGGAGCAATAATATTCTTTACCTTTATTAGAGATGCTATAAATAACATTGACTACTTTAAAGTTTGAAAATCTTAAAGACATGTTAGGTAGGGAAGATACTAGCTCTCACCATAGAGTTCCCTCTTCTCCCTCCATCTGGCAGCTATCATCTTGTATAAAAAACTAAAACTATAAATCAAATTGGGGCCTTTAGCCTGTCACTATAAAGTCCTTTAATTCTATACCCTTTAAAGTTTATTTCCTTATTTATTTGCACTCAATCATATGAATTTTACTCTCATCCATATAACCTCACGTGATTCTTACCATATGTTGACTGAGACAATACCATCTTGGATTTTACATGTTCTCACAATAGGAATTAACATCTTAATTGGCAAAATCAAGAAGTAATGAAGTACAAGGTTTAAAATCATCACAACTTCTTCCAACATTAAAGAATAATACTCCACATAACTTCCATCCAATACTTAATCACTTATCATTTTAAGGAAAAATATAAAGAAAACTACTCAAAATTCTTGGAGAAAACACAACCACACTTAAGTTTGAAAGTAGAAATCATGCAAACAAATAAGACGTCTAAATTAAAACCAAATGTAGTTACAAGGATAAAAACTTATCTCAAATCCTCTACACAACAGTCTTGAAGTTCCTTTAATTCTATTCCTTCACTTACAATACAAACTACAACTTAAAATAAAAAGAAAAGTGTGGGTGACTGAAATGAGTTTGGCGATGATAGATGATGGCTCTTATGATGGGGTTGATGCTCTTCCTCTTCAATCCAAGACTTTTCTTAAAATTTTCCAAAAGGTATCTTTGTGTTTCTTCAAAATTTGTTAATATTCAATGAATCTTCTAGAATTTGCCTCATTTCGAAGCCAATTGAATGAATTTTTTTGTCTATTAACTATTTCCCGCGTTTTCAACAAGGGTTGCTTCAAATTCGTTCAAATTCATCCAAATTCATTGAATCATCAAGTAACTACTTTTGGCGCTTAAGCGCAAGGTACTGGGCACTTAGACGTGGCCTTCTCTTTTTCATGTGTCGGTTCTTGATGCTTAGATGCCTCAGTTCAATTATACAAATTCTTCATCTTTGTTCCAAATTTGATCCTTTTCTCTCATTTCACCATTTTTCATCCATTTGATTGTACCTCAAATTAAAACACACAAATATAAAACACACAAATATCTTTACACAAATATCTTTCATTAAAGCGCAATATATCAAAAAATAGGTATAAAAATGTATAAATAAAGACTATATGTTTTAGGTGTATCAATAATGATTGCTATTTCAGAGACAGAATGAAATGATTTTAAACTTGGGACTGTCTCGCCTTTGACATTATCATCCTCTTTTCCTCGGCCTCTTCCCTCCTTGATGAGTAAGTGTTGCCTATCTTCTTTATTGGCTCCTTCCTTGACATTTGTGCACCCTTTTCAAGCTTGCTTTTCTCCTCCAGCTCATTAGAAGTTACCAACAGTGCAAGAGTCCAAACTAGGTAGGGTTAATTGTTATGGGGTCAATATATTAGATTACTAACATTTATTTACACATGAAAGTCAAGGCAAGCCCTTGAAACCACAATGACGCTTCTTTTTTCTTCTTTTAAGGTCCTTAGGTTAGCCTAGTTTTAATTTCCCAGCTCTTGCATACAACTTGGAGGATTTCAAACTTTTAATATTTGACCTTATTTTTAGATCAATCAAGTGAAAATTTTTAGTGAAGTCAAAACAACATATCATTTGACTCCACCATGAAAGAACACACAGGGAAAAATTGCTCCTGAAACCTCGGGATCTCCATCCATCTCAAGTAAATGACGAATGCATCACTGCTACAATTGTGTTTGGTTTTATCTGAGTAGGGATGACTCCATAGTGATTGAGTATCAACTGGAGTTCCAAGCAGAATAACTGTCAAAGTCCCCATCCAAACTGATCATAGTATAAAATCATATTAACTTTGGAGTAGCGGTTTCCCTCACTTTTGGCTCAACTGCCTTGTGTACTAAATTTGTGTTGTACACAAATATCTTCTAGGAGACTCACATCAAACAATGCCAGTGTATACCTTTCAGTTGCTCGCATCATGCTGAACCTTTATAGAGAATATTTGGAGGTCATGAGAACATTAGAAGGAAATTGAATAAAGGGAAAGACAAGATACGACTGAAGTGAAGGAAAAGTGAAAAATGAGAAAGTGTAAGCCCATTTTACTTTAACCCTTATATTGGGTATCCAGGGAATTCAAAATATGTCTGTAACTTGTTCTTCAAAAATTCATCACAAATTGGTGTGAAAATTAAGAAAATGAAATGATCTAAAATTTTAAAATTTACGAAAACTAAATATTTATTTATGACAGAAAATATTTAATAAACATGCTTTTGACCGTCTTGTGCAACACTAGACCCCAACTCACAAGGCTTTAGTACAACACACACTCCCTTAACTTAAATTTGTTTACACCCTCTTCCTCTTCTTGGACTCGAGAGATCAAATTGGTCACCTGGACTTCTGCCAACTCTGCATGAAGACTCGTCCCATTTGTCCAGAGAGTCACCATGTCCAAATAAAGGGCTGCATGCTCCTCCTTAAAGTAGGATATGTCTTTCTCCCTTTGAAATCCATCATCCTAGTTAAGGTGTTTACTATTTCATCCATACAGACAGAAGGCTACTCTGGTGAACCTCACCTACCATCAGTCTCCATCTTAACAACCTCATGAACCAACAGACGATGGCCATATTGTCTCAAGCCATGGACAAATTAGAAGGTCCCAGGGCTACCTCTGGAGTAGAGGGTTGACTGAATTCTATTACCAAAGAGTCATTGATGTGCACGATCTCCTCTATAAGAATAATCAAATATTATAAATAATAAAAGGAATAAATCAACCATCTAAGAAAAAATAGATTTCTTTATGCCACTTATTCACTCCATCATAGACATGCGAAGACTCTCGCCATCAAGCAATTGGGCAACCACTTGATTGGCCTCAACAATTGAGGAAAAGGGAAGTACACCTCCACTTGTTTGGACCTGGGTCTCAACCACCAACTGTATGAGTTGGTGGGTTGGCCACTAATAGATTGAATTTGGAGCAAAAATAGTTGCACCATTGTCGTGGATGTTAGCCACAGTCCCCATCTCATAGTGGCAATGAGCCAAACAACTCGGTCGTCTCCTCTGCCTTTTTTTTTTTTTGTACTACTACTTACCAGCTTCATCTCCACTGATTGACTCCCTTCTCATGGCCTCTTTGATCCAACTGACCGACTATTCACAGGTTTCTTCTTCTTCTCTCCAACAAGATGGCAGAGTTTTTTGGTTGAAAGCCTAAATGCCTTCAACATGTCCTTCTCATTCATGGGGTTTTTTGCCACTCATCGTTGTACTTTTCTTTTAAAAACTGACTAATGGATTGGAAATTCAGAAATGGTGGTGAAAAAGTACTGATCATGCCTTATTTATAAGGAATACATGCATTAAAATCTAGGAAGTTTTATTATTCAAAGTTTTTATTAAGAAATAAAAAAGTCAACTTTTGCATTTAATTTTGTTATTCTCATTACAATTATCTCTTTCATGAAGTAAGAGAATCAGAGACTAAAATATGTATATAATAAATATGACACACGAATCTCAAGAAAACTCAATAGATCCCACTAAATGGACACCAAACGACTGCATCAGGATGGTCAACAAACACAACATCATGCATCGATTCCTCCAGTTGGAACTGTGGGTTGACCGAGCAAAAGAACTTGGGGGGCCCAATTCAAGGGACAAACTTCCCTCAACTGATTTTGGGATGCTTCACAAAATTGGTCAAAGGGCACCTCATTGAATATATTTCCAATCTTTTGAGAAGGTCGCTTGCCCGAAGAGGGGTACTCATCAAATTACGGTGACACACCCTCTGTCTGGCGGTCCAAGTACACTCAAACGATAAGAGGGTCTATATTGAGGATTCTCATGAGGAGGCCGACTGAAGACCTTCCAACCGACCGAACGATTGCGAGACGGCGAAATTACAATACCAATAGACCATTAAATGCCTTTCTTCAAGTATTTATGAATATGAAATGGTGTCAACATCAGTTTTAGATTCTAAAGGGCGCGACGTCGATTACAAATATGAAAATGTGTAATAATGACTTTTAATATTCCTATTAAAACAAGAACAAACATGTAACTTTACTAAACACTCCTATGATATATAAATAGGGGGTTATTTCTTCATGAAAGGAATACTGAATATGCCCTTTCATAATTTGTGTTATTGTACATTTTGTTTTTCTCTCTCTCTACCTTCCGTCCGTCCAATCCTCTATACCATGGGTGTGATACATGGGACATTTTTACATTCAACACATAGAAAGCCAAATGTAAAGGGCATAACTCAAACTTGTGTAAACCATTTCAAGCTAGTTCCAAACTAGGCTCAAACATGATTAGAAGGTGAAGAAAGTTTGAATGTATTTTAATCTAGTTTGAATGTAGTTCTAACAAATTTTATTAACCAAGTTTGAAACCCTTATTATAATTATGCACCTTTTTTGTTTTTTAAACCTAGACTTTTCATTCAATTGAATTCCTACTATTACATGTCCTTGCCAAAAATGAAAACATTTTAACCTAAATAATTAGAATTATAGAATCATAAATATTGAACAAAAGATAATTCAAGCCTTTAAGGATTGCTACTTCACGAAGTTCACGTGTGCCTTCTATTTAAGGGTTATGACTTATATTTTTATACTACAAAATCATATTAACAAGAAATATATTTTTCCCATAAAAAGAAAAATATCAGAGACATTTTAAATGCATTGAGGTGCATATAAAATAAAACTTCTCATAAGTAAATGCCACATAATAATTGATGCAAAGTACTTAATAAGCATATTTTTCCTGGAACAGTTCCCCAAAACTACATTACTATCTCCATATCATCAACAGATATATCTTCGTATCCACCAAAACTTAAACATCCATCAGCAAAGTCAGCACCATTACTGCTCTCTTCCCTCTCACAAACGGGCGGCGACTCAGCAATCAACTTCGCATCAAAATCCATGCCAGATTTCGACGCCACCTCCTGCACAGACCTCGGCGACAAGCTCACCCATCTCATACTCGCAGCTCGATCCGGAAAGTTCAGTCCTTTTGAAGAGGATGGGCCGCGGAGAAGAAAGAAGGCGGTGTCGTGAGCCATTGCCGCCGCCTCCGGTGATCTGTAAGTGCCAAGCCAAAGCCGGTCTCTTGTGCCCGGGACGCGGATCTCCGACACCCATTTGCCCTGTTTCCGGCACCGGACGCCTTTGTAATTCCGGTCATCACCGGCGATGTTACCGTTAGAGCTGCTCATATTTTTCTGACCGTTGAGAATTTATGTGATGATTTGGTTTGCAGAAAATATATATAGGGAGGGTTTGAATGAGGAGTTGACAATGGTATAATGTCAAGGAAAACAATGGTCAGCGCTTGGGGGTTGTGTGGGAACGTACGATGCGGATAATTAAAGGGACTTTTAGAGTTTAAATGAACATAGATTTGTCACGTGGTCAAATTTAAGTAAAATGGTCAAAACGTAGTTGGCTGACGGTGATTTGGTCCGCTCAGATGGTCTTATGACAGATCAGATTCAAATTTGATTTGTCATTTTCGCGTAACTTATCTTGATGTAAATCGTTGTATATAAATTTTTTTTAATCTTGGGTCATTTACGTTAATGCCAACTAATCCTTGCATATTTATATATTTGATTTTTAAACTTTATTTATATTTGTCCCATTCAAATATTTGTCATCACACCAATATATCACTGTATATGATGAATGTGACCACGAATGTTAATGAGGTCCAACGATTGTGTATAAGATGACGTGATAGGTGAGAGCCCATTAGGACAAAATCAAGTGTCTACTTTAGACCACCCGGCTCATGCTAGCAAGGTGACAACTAACCCTCACATCAAACGATAACCAACAACCCATTCGAAGGGTACCCTGGTCAAATTTTTGCACAACTGATTCGACAAGATTCAACACACGGAGCAAACAACAATAACAGTTCCCCGAACATCTGATCGGTGGTTTGCATTATTCAACAGTACCCAAGCGACGGACTCCTAGGCTATATACCCAGTTGGAAGCCTTTTCATGCTCTCAACATTCTTAATGTTTATTATTGAAAATATCGCCCACTGTCCCTATTTGACTAGATGTACAAATGTAATTTTGGGGTACCCTTTACTATAAATAGGATGCTCATTGAAAGAGAAAAGGTTTGGCAATTTTATTATTTGTTACACTGCTCACTCTGCATTTCTCTTCTCTACAATGCTCCATTCGTTGAGTGTCTCTCTCGGACAATTTTGGATTCAATATCCTGAAAGGTGCGGTGAGCATAATCATGTCGGAAATAAGAAAAGGAGCACAACAACAAGAAGAAAATAGCTAGAGAGATGTAGCGAACATGAGATGCACCAGAGAGGTCATGGACGAGTTCATGTAATGAGAGATGCAGAAGATGAGAAACTTTATAACGAGGCAGATTGTGGAGGTCCTTAGAGCTTCAAGCAGGTGAACATGCTTCTTGAGTGCAGAACCATCCTCGAGAAGCAGTGCAGACATACAATGATAGGTAGTTGAACTATGGCCCAAACAAAGCTGAAAACTCGCAATACCAAGATAGTGTTGGATCTGTATTGATGAAGAGATAACGTTTTATGCATATTGAGGCATCGTGCCAATCAAAGAACGCATTATCCCTCCATATCTATGAAGTCGAGCCTACTAAGAATTTTAAATGGACCTGCGACTTGATATGGCACAAAACACCTTGACCCAAGGCCTAAGAGTTGAGAGGTTTTGGTTTGGCCTCGGCTTGGTAGAACACCAAAACTTTGTTGAATTGTTGGAGATGGCCAACAAGTTCATTAAAGTGGAGGAAAATGGCATAAAACCCCGAACCATCAAATCATTGTTGCCTTCTTTTCCTTTTTAAATTTAAAGTCGCCAACATGTCTAATCGTTGTCTTAGGATTTCCTTTTTCAATGAGCCCTCTTAGTTGAACTATCATAAAAATTCAGAGAAGAGGAGAGATAAAAAAAATGGGGAAATAAGGAGAAAATTAGGCAAACAAAATTTTCTAAAAAGAATCATGGAGAGCTTATATAAGTTAAACCTCATGTTATAAGTCAAGAGTGTACTTTCAAATAGGATCGGATCAAAATACTTTGGATCGAATATCCATGAATGAATACCCACATAAGCTACCTAAGTGACCAAAGAAATAAAAAATAACAGCTAAGTAGTAGTGAAGCCTTAATGATTTAAATTCAAAAGATATCACAATTCATAACTTTGTGAGTCTCTAGAGTTCTTAAGGTTGATTTTCTTGAACAAAGCACAATAAGTTCAGTTGTTCTTTAAAATATCCAAAAGATTGTATAGGTGTTTATGGGATACCCTATACAACCTTAAACGTCTTCTGAATCATTTTTTAGTTCATTTGAACTTATTTTGTTATTGAATAGATCACTCTGAAGTTCATTAGGTTTAATTCATGCTCAGTTTTATTTCTCAATTAACCCATGAAAGAGGGGATAGGAAAATTTGAGCTTGTAGTGTTTGAGAGAACTTAAAACTAATCCTCAAGTATCTTTAAATTAAATTTAGCTCACAACAAAGCTCTTAAGTCATTAGGGGTGGATGTGTAATTTTAGAAAAGGCCATATTGAGAACATTTGATTCATATCAAAAGATCAACCTATATCTCAACCATTGGTTTGAGACTCTAGGTTCGTAAGTTTTTGACTTCCTGACTTAAGTCCCAATGATTTTGATCGTTCAATTTGTTTTCTTCTTCCAACGTTTAACTATTTGGATAATCACAGTTATACCCTTCTTTTCTAAAAGTGAAGGTGAATTGGTTTATACCTCTTATCCACATGTTCCAATCACCTTATCACCTTAGAATGTTTTCACCTTAGAATGTTTCTTAGGATCAAATATTACCCTTTAAGCCCTTAGCTCAACCTAAATCTTAATTAGGGATGTAAAGGTGGAAATTACAGTTTTTCCCCTAAGGCTCATATCTTCATAAGTCTTTTAAATTAAATTATATAGGCTTGAAAATTTGTTGACCTATCTCTCATGGGTTAACTGAAATAGCAAATAAGAAATTATATTTTTCAGATCTTTATTTTATTTTTTATAATTATTTTAGTCCAAAATTAGGAATCTCCAAAGTTAATTCATTTAATCAACCAAGGTAAAGTTTATGTCCTTAGGCAATTTGCTGGAGGTTCACCTAGGTCAGAGAACCACTTGGGTTAAATTTAATGAATTTTTTAATTATATTTTAATTTTTATAATTATTTAGAAATTTGATGACTGATTAAATAGAAAATATAATTTAATTTCAAAAATTACTTTTTTATACTTTTCATTAGTCTCTCTAAATTTAAAGAACACAGAGAAACAAACTTTTCATTTTTATCATTTTTATTTTATTTATTTTAATTATTTTAATATAAAATTAAGGAAAATACATTTTAGGCTTCTAAATAATACATAACTATATTAAGAAAATTAGGAAAAAGATTCTAATTGGTCTCAACTGGTCATGAAAAAATTAGTGACATTTTGGTGCATTTTTGTATTTTTATGATTTTTAATTGTTTTTAATTATTTTTAAATTAAAAACTAGCTCAAAAATAAACTTTTTATTTTAACATCAATTTCCTCTTTCGTCGGTGTCCTTGGTCACAAGGATCACCCCAAACCACTTTCATAATTTTTTTTTATATTTTATTTATTATAATTATTTTAGTGTAGAAATCTCATTTGCTTTGAAAAATACACTTTGATAGTCAAATCAATTCATATTAATTTCAATTTTTTATAGAATCTTCCTATGACCATTATCTTTGGTGTGCATTTATTTTTATTATTTTTTGGTTTATATTTTTGTTTATTTAATTTTTTATAGGTTTTAATGACTTAAATTAGGAAATTATATTTTAAAGACATTCAAACTTAGGTTTTATTTTTTGTATACTTCTTTGACCACAGTGAACCTACCAAAACAAACCTCATATTTTTTTCTAATTTTTATTTTAATTTATATAATTTATTTTAAGCAAAAGGGTGACTTAACCTTGGAAATTAGGGTTTATCATGTTAGGAATGTTCTTTGACTATAGAAAAAAAATCAGAGAAACTCATAATCACAGAGAAAACAAACCCTCCAAATTTCATATTATGGTGATTAACATTTAATTATTTATGACTTAATGAAGGTTTATAGTATTTAATTATTTTAAAAATAAATATAAGGCACATAATTTATATTTTTGGTCCACTTGATTCTCCTTTTTTCACTGAGCACATGGGCATTTTTATGTTATTTTTATGATTTATCTACACCAAGTTATAAATTTTTGAAGATTTTAAATTATTTAAATCATTTAATGGCCTATTTTTCTCCTTTTTCAAGTGGCACTGACTCGATCTTTGGCAGCTCCGAAAGTGCAAGCGGCGCTCTCCCATTTGACGTCTCCTTCCGGCTCATCACTGACTCTGCCCGTACTTTGTGAACCATCTCCTCGTCGAACACCTTCTCCACCGTCTAATGGATACACGCGCAAATGGATGACAACCACTCATCGTCCCCATCTGATCTTAACCGAGAACCGCACGTTCTCTAAACCTAAGATCTTGCTTGATACTCAACCAAATCACATGGGGTTTGATTCAATAGTTTCATCTAATTGAGACGAACATATTCATATGGTTAAATGCATATGAAATTAAACTTCCCTTCACAATTACTCAAATCGAGCATGATTTTATGGTTGGTGATCTATAATTTTGCCCAAGAAGTGAGGCCTCGATTGGGTTGGTTCTAGACATTCCTTGTGACCTCACAAAGCTTTTCCAAGTTACCATTTGAGCTGGTGCAAAGTCTACATAAGATTTCAACGAAGGGGTGATTCTATTTTAATTTTGGAGTGGGTTAGAGTACTCGAAGAGAGGGGTTTTGGCTGGGAACTTCCTCGTTTGGCATGGGGAAGCTGTGAGAGCAATTAATTTCAAGGATTGTGGAGTTTTATGGAGTGACAAAAAAGCCCAGGATTTCAAGCTTGAAATTAGGGTCTTATAGTGGGGGGAGATTGTTGGAGTTTGATTGGGATGAGTTTAGGAAGGTCTGAGGAAGCTGTGAAAGCAATTTGGAGGGATCTCCCTAAGGAATTGGTAGCACTCTTTTTGTATTCATGAGAGGGGTGGTTTAAATATCCATGTAATCGGGGCTTGATTGGCCAAGCTAGTAGGTGGAGAAGGATGCTTAGGTGGAGGGTTGAGCA